AAAAATATATATATATATATATATATATATATATATGAAGAAAAGTCAGAGGAATTAAACTTGAAAAACAGCACCAAAAAAAGCTGGACAAGTGGCAGGCAAGGGGAGCCTGGGACTGCCTGCAGGGGACGCTGCAGTCCCCCAGGCTTGTTCTTACTAGCTGAGCACCGGTAGCCATAGCAGGAGTGTCAAGTGGATTTGTTGTGAACACTCCTGGGGACAAAAGTAGGAGAATGCCATTTAACTTAAACAGCATATAAGATGCAATATAGTTCAGGCTGGGACAAATCAGAAAAGACATACAAATTCCTCATCTTCTCAGTGAAAGACAGGAATCAAAATTGGATGGTACCCTCATTAGTCCTGAAACGCCCCAAGGGCCCTCCATTGGGCACAGTTCATGTTAGGTGACATGGTGAACACCTTGCGAATGCCACGTCACTGAGCGGCCACAGGCACTGGCTAACTCCAGCCGACAGGGTCCCTGTAGCAGGAAGCTCAGTTCTGCAGCCGGTCCTCGCTTCCCGCCTGGACCACAGGGGCTGCCAGCCCGATGCGGGCAGACTGAGGCCAGGGAGTTCGTCAGCACAGCTGGAAGTGACTCCTGCAGCAAAGGTGGAGTGTGCTGGCTCCTGGGGAGGAATGCCCATGCAGAGAGGAGTCAGGTGGACACAGTCAAGTGTGGAGCAGTGGGAATGGAGGCCAACAGCCCAATGGGTGGGGCAGGCAAGAGCCTGGGCCAGAGGGCCTCCCAGGCTTTCAAGCCCAGGAAGCTTCCTAGAGTACAATGAAGAGCCTCTGTGTGCAGGGGCAAAATGGCCTCGTGTTGGAAAAGTCCTGCTGGTCAGAGGGTGGGGCCCAATTGGATACAGGCCGAGACTGGCAGGCATTCCGCTGGACCTAGGTGGGAGGCGGAGGAAAAGACAGAGCTAGGAGGCTGTTGCCAGGCTTGGGGACAGCTGGGGGAGAGGAACAGCTCATTAACACTGGGAGCAGCCCATGTGGGAAGCAGATGGAGGGGGGGTTTACACTGGGAAAAACAAAACACATCAACATTTGTGAAAATGACTGGATGACCAGGAGCAGTGGCTCACGGCTGTAATCCCAACACTTTGGGAGGTCGAGGCGAGAGGATTGCCTGATCCCAGGGTTCAAGATCAGCCTGGGTAACTTGGCAAAACCTCATCTCTACAATAAATAAAAATATGAACTGTGTGTGGGGGCGCATGCCTGTGGCTCCAGCTACTTGGAAGGCTAGGGTAGAAGGATCGTCTGAGCCCAGCAGGTTGAGGCTGTCATGTCCGTGAGCGTGCCACTGCACTCCAGCCTGGGCCACGGTGAGACTCTGACTCAAAATAAATAAATAGTAAATACATACATAAATAAAATGACCAGATGGTGTCATCTCAGGCCTGGGCCCCACCCCATCAAGAGGGAAAAGTAACACAGGCTGACAGGAAAATAGAAACTGTCATCCTGGATGGTTCCCGACAGACCCTGCAGCTGGGTCCCAGGCTGTTGGCGTCCCCCAGCTTCCAGAGGCCAGTTGCGGACACCGTACTGCCTATCATGTATGTTTTGGAAGTGTTCAGAGGAAACATCTGCCCCAGAGCATGACACCGCTAATGTGACAGTCAATATTTGACATCAATCCATTTAGCAGACTCTCACCCTCACCTAGCAACCAAGTCACCCACAAATTAACAACTCAATGCCTCCAAAAGGACCGAGTTGCCCTCGGTCCTCAGACGGAGACCACTTTCCCAACAGGGACTCTACCCTTCTCTCAGGTCTACTGAGGCAAAAGCAAAACGATGTAACAGAACCGAGTAGGACCTGGTGGATGGAAAAGCCAGTACAGGTTAACAGGGATGCCTTTCACCACCATGTACAAGAAACCTCAGGGTGGAGCCATGCCAATGACACCATCCCCTGGCGTGAGAGGGCTGGCTAGTCAGAGTCAGAACAAGAGTGAGGAGGGCAGGAGTCCGTGTGCTGCGGCACCTCTTATTTCTGAGGCAAATGGAATTAATCCCCACTTTAAACACTAGGAAACAAAGGTCCAACAAGCCCAGGGGGGCAGCCGTGGGACATAGCTAACAGACGGCAGAGCCAGACCTCAAGCCCAGGTCTGACTCAGAAACTCAATCCTACACCCATCAATAACAAACATTCAGCTGGGTGTGATGGCTCATGCCTGTAATCCCAGCAGTTAGGCTGAGGTAGAAGGATTGCCTAAGCCCAGGAGGTTGAGGCTGTGGTGAGCCATGATCATGCCACTGCAATCTAGCATGAGTAACAGTGAGACCCTCAACTCAAAAAAAAGAAAAACATTAAGCCTAAACATCAGGGACAGCACAAAATGCACATACAAACCAGCTCATTAAGTTGGAACAGCAGAAGCAGCCCCCCGAATTGCAGTGTATTTGGATTTTGGCTAAATTCCATTTGTGTTACGTTACTCTTACTTTATGTTATACGGTATGAATTTAAAAGGATCTTTTCCTTAATTAGCAGTGAAATCATTAAAAATATGGGCGTGTGCACACACGCAGGATATGACGTGTACTTGACATGTGACCATTGTGAGACTGAGACAGCTTGAGCAGGAATCAGGGGAAGACCCCTATCTATAGGATGTACACTCAGTGAAATTCTTGAGAACAACATCCTGTTAGTAACATCATAACAAAAAATAGGTAGGGAGTTATTTGGGGTTTTTTTTTTTTTTTTTTTTTTTTTAGCTTAAGTATTTTATTTGTTTGCAACTAAGCTTGTTAACACTATATAATGAAAATGTACAAAGAATAATGTTGTAGTTTTTGGTTAGATTTAAGTCAAAGACATTCATTAATAAGGAATCTTCAAATGTGAATATTCCAGAAATTTCTCTAAGCCATCTGATCAGAACAACTGTCTCTGAATTATTACCTTACTTTGGAAGGTATTGGCATACATTTGAATTAAAACTCAAAATTTTTCAAAATAAGCCCTAATTAAAAAAACTATTCTATATTCAAACTAAAACAATATTAATAGTACTTTCCTTTCCAGAAACAATAAAGGAAACAAGGCATTTTGTAAAATGTGGTCCTGAACAAGTCACAGTAAAAAATAAATGTATACTTAACTT